AAAAAAAGAAAGGAAAAAAGCATTTGGCAGAATCTCGCAAAAATCTGCGGCCCACGTTTCGATCTGTTCGGGCCACCATTCATTTCTAAACTTTCCCTACGTGACCAATATTTCGTCGTTGCGTTCCAGAGCAAACAGATGAAACTTCGATGGAACGTGATTCGACGGAAAGGAATTTCGCAATGGTACCCCTTGATATACCCGTAAACATTATCATGCGATGAACCTTCGCTTTCGTTCCTTAAAGCTCGATGCTTTTCGCACGATAAGAAGAAGCATTAAATGAGAAAACTTTCTACGACCAGTTATTTTGTATCCTTCTTTCTTTCATAGTCGTTCGAAATTGTCTTTGCAAATTGGAAGGGATTAAATATATTGGAAATGTGAAATATAATTAAGAATGTGTATGCTATTAGAGGAAAATATGTTATTTACATTATTTTGAATCTTGAAATAGTATCATGGTGAAGATAAAAAAAGTGTTTCAAAAGATTTGCACAGATTATATTTATATATTTTATTTTACAAATTATATCCATCTGTTGAACTTTAATGAAGATTTGAATTTCTTTTTTTTATATTATTTTCTATAATTCTTATACGATTGATAAATTATTTATAAACAACTTTTATAAATAGCAAGAATAAACAAGACTCTCTTTAAAAGTAACGATTCCTTTGTTCTTATTTTTTTAAGACAAATTAACGAAGAATAGGTTCGCATCACCAAATAATTATTTATCACTATGCGAGAAACACTAATGAGCATTCAATGGATCGTGATTCATGTTCGAACGGTATACACCGCATTAATACGATCAATTTTATGAAAATCACGTTCCTCCTCCATTCACCTCGATCAAGAAAATCTGAACACATCCCGCGTAATTTCGTGACTCCTGTCCCGTTATTTTATCCTATTGAAACCAGTTAATTTAACCAAGAAATATTTCTCTTAATTCGAAAAAAATATATAAATCTTTGATTTTATCTTTCTTGGAGGGGAAAAAAAGACGGAGAGGAATTAAGGACATTAAGGAACCGAGATGAAAAAATAAAAAAAAGGATCATTTCGTTATTTTCTAAAAGAGAAATTAGGGATTAAGGTCTCGCGTATCGAAAAAAGGACGAGACGAGGAGATCCTTTTCATTCGTTTCACGCTCTTTTCCCACCTTTCGCATGGAAATCTCGATTTTTCAATTCGCCACGCGCAAAAGCTACTCTGCCAGGGAAATACTGAATGCGAAAACGGAAGGCGATTAATATCGCGTGACTTGACGCCTTTCCCCAGATTTCCCTGTAAATCCGCCGTTTAAAGTTCCGTTTATCTTCGTTTCACACGTCCACGCTCTCGATTCATACACTCTTAACTCGTATTATCGGCACGAGGAAACGTTTCAATTAATTATCAGAGACGAATGAAAAAAAACGATTTCGTTAATGGCAAAATCGAATTCATTTTCCTATTTGTCCCTTATTTTTCTTAATCTATAATAAATTGGCTCTGTTCAACATCCATAATTGTATTGGATACTTAACAAGTGACCCATATTCTTCGTGACTCTGTGCGAATATCTTTTATTTAAGGGAATGATCGAGAAGAGTCTTGGGGGGAAAAAAGGGGCTGGTGATGTACGATACGAGATGAAATGTAATAATCGTGTTATTAATTATTGAAATATGCGGTCGAGATGAAGACATATTAACCCCATAAAAACTTGATCTACATTGAATTTTCATAAAATATTCAAATACTTTCTTTCTTTTCTTTTCTCGTACTTGTAAAGCTCAATCAA